CTATCTTTGAAAATGATATTTTCGGACAATTTGTTCCCACGGATGACGAAGAGAAAGAAATCTTTCGAATATTGTCAATATTATATTATCTTAAATTAAAGTTTGATATTAGCTTTAAAGCAGAGAGCAATGTAATCATATTCGATTCAATTTTTAAATTTTACATAACATATATAGGTTGTACTTGAAACAAAAGATTTTACTGAATATAATGAAATCGCATTTTGTACAATAGTTATTGAAAAATTTATAAGTCCTATATGCATATATGCTAAATATGTTAAAGATATTGTAAATTAAATGTTTATGACAAATATTTACTGTATATTTTAGAAAACTATTACGCAATTGATTACATCAATCCAAATTGAGAAGAAAGATGGGAAATTAAAGACTATCGATAATAGCTTTATTATCCGTGCCAATAAAGATATATTCGATATTAAAGGAGATCATCATGTTTTAGACATTATTATAAAGGATTGTGGAAGTAATTTTTAGTTTATAATTAAGGTAAACTAATATATAATATATTTTTAAAATAACAGACATCACTAGTTCCTCATCAAGTATTTCATAATAATATTTATTTTATATTAATTTATTTATTTCATAAATTAGTTGCTAAAATAATATTTTAAAGTATTAAAACTTTATAATAAAATTTGATACGAAATTAAAATATTTTTATACAATAAAATTGTCAACTAAATATTATATTGTGAAAATAAATTAAATAAATCAAAGGGCTAATTTACCTTATTTAATTTTGAAATTTTTTATTTCCATCTATATATCCGTGTTAATTTTTAAATTTACCTATGATGCTTATTGATATGACTGAAAAGATATATCTATTTATATATAATTAAATCTAAATTTATATTTGAATTATTTCCTTTTATAAGTAATTACCCCCACCACAACCGGATCGCCATTTAATACAACATCATCTCAAACGACACCATCTGGACAAACCACTCCATCTAGACAAACCACTCCATCAGGTCAAACTACTCCATCTGGACAAACCACTCCATCTGGTCAAACCACTCCATCTGGACAAACTACTCCATCTGGACAAACAACTCCTTCTGGACAAACTACTCCATCTGGGCAAACTACTCCATCAGGTCAAACGACACCATCTGGTCAAACCACTCCACCTGGACAAACTACTCCATCTAAACAAACCACTCCTTCCGGACAAACTACTCCATCTGGACAAACCACTCCTTCTGGACAAACTACTCCATCTGGACAAACCACTCCATCAGGTCAAACGACACCATCTGGACAAACCACTCCATCTGGACAAACCACTCCATCAGGTCAAACTACTCCATCTGGACAAACCACTCCATCTGGTCAAACCACTCCATCTGGTCAAACCACTCCATCTAAACAAACTACTCCATCTAAACAAACCACTCCTTCTGGACAAACTACTCCATCAGGACAAACTACTCCATCTGGACAAACCACTCCTTCTGGACAAACCACTCCTTCTGGACAAACCACTCCTTCTGGACGAACCACTCCATCTGGACAAACTACTCCATCTGGACAAACTACTCCTTCTGGACAAACTACTCCTTCTGGACGAACCACTCCTTCTGGACAAACTACTCCATCAGGACAAACTACTCCTTCTGGAAAAACCACTCCATCAGGTCAAACTACTCCATCTGGACAAACCACTCCATCTGGACAAACCACTCCATCTGGTCAAACCACTCCATCTAAACAAACTACTCCATCTAAACAAACCACTCCTTCTGGACAAACTACTCCATCAGGACAAACTACTCCATCTGGACAAACCACTCCTTCTGGACAAACCACTCCTTCTGGACGAACCACTCCTTCTGGACGAACCACTCCATCTGGACAAACTACTCCATCAGGACAAACTACTCCTTCTGGAAAAACCACTCCATCAGGTCAAACTACTCCATCTGGACAAACTACTCCATCTAAACAAACCACTCCTTCCGGACAAACTACTCCATCAGGACAAACCACTCCTTCCGGACAAACTACTCCATCTGTACAAACCACTCCTTCTGGACAAACCACTCCTTCTGGACAAACCACTCCTTCTGGACGAACCACTCCTGGACAAACTACTCCATCTGGACAAACTACTCCATCAGGTCAAACTACTCCTTCTGGACAAACCACTCCTTCTGGACAAACCACTCCATCTGGACAAACTACTCCATCTGGACAAACTACTCCATCTGGACAAACTACTCCATCAGGTCAAACTACTCCTTCTGGACAAACCACTCCTTCTGGACAAACCACTCCATCTGGACAAACTACTCCATCTGGACAAACTACTCCATCTGTACAAACCACTCCATCTGGTCAAACTACTCCTTCTAGACAAACTACTCCATCTCGACATACCACTCCATCTAGAGAAACCACTCCATCTCGACATACCACTCCATCTCGACATACCACTCCATCTCGACATACCACTCCATCTCGACATACCACTCCATCTCGACATACCACTCCATCTCGACATACCACTCCATCTCGACAAACCACTCCATCTGGACAAACCACTCCTTCTGGACAAACCACTCCTTCTGGACGAACCACTCCTTCTGGACAAACTACTCCATCAGGACAAACCACTCCTTCCGGACAAACTACTCCATCTGGACAAACCACTCCTTCTGGACAAACCACTCCTTCTGGACAAACTACTCCATCTGGACAAACCACTCCTTCTGGACAAACCACTCCTTCTGGACAAACTACTCCTTCTGGACAAACCACTCCTTCTGGACAAACCACTCCTTCTGGACAAACTACTCCTTCTGGACAAACCACTCCATCTCGACAAACTACTACTTGTCCGCCAGGTTTTATTATAGTCCCATAATCAAATGATACAAACTTTATTTTAATTTTCTAGCTATAAATCCTTGTGATTTAGTTACAAAAGACGGAAATTATAGTCTAAGTGATTTAATAAATTGCACCTCGCTATCTTGCAAGTAATAATATTCCATTTAAAATATATACTTAATATATTATATAGTGCTGAGATATACTTGGAACGAAAGGATAATAAAATTATATATCCTATCTTTGAAAATGATATTTTCGGACAATTTGTTCCCACGGATGACGAAGAGAAAGAAATCTTTCGAATATTGTCAATATTATATTATCTTAAATTAAAGTTTGATATTAGCTTTAAAGCAGAGAGCAATGTAATCATATTCGATTCAATTTTTAAATTTTACATAACATATATAGGTTGTACTTGAAACAAAAGATTTTACTGAATATAATGAAATCGCATTTTGTACATTAGTTATTGAAAAATTTATAAGTCCTATATGCATATATGCTAAATATGTTAAAGATATTGTAAATTAAATGTTTATGACAAATATTTACTGTATATTTTAGAAAACTATTACGCAATTGATTACATCAATCCAAATTGAGAAGAAAGATGGGAAATTAGAAACCATCGATAATAGCTTTATTATCCGTGCCAATAAAGATATATTCGATATTAAAGGAGATCATCATGTTTTAGACATTATTATAAAGGATTGTGGAAGTAATTTTTAGTTTATAATTAAGGTAAACTAATATATAATATATTTTTAAAATAATAGACATCACTAGTTCCTCATCAAGTATTTCATAATAAAATTTATTTTATATTAATTTATTTATTTCATAAATTAGTTGCTAAAATAATATTTTAAAGTATTAAAACTTTATAATAAAATTTGATACGAAATTAAAATATTTTTATACAATAAAATTGTCAACTAAATATTATATTGTGAAAATAAGTTAAATAAATCAAAAGGCTAATTTACCTTATTTAATTTTGCAATTTTTTATTTCCATCTATATAACCGTGCAAAATGCCGTTTCGTCTAAAAGTGCCAAAAGATCAAATAAATTGCAAATGATAGGAAATTAGAAATAATTTTTAAATTTACCGATGATGCTTATTGATATGACTGAAAAGATATATCTATTTATATATAATTAAATCTAAATTTATATTTGAATTATTTCCTTTTATAAGTAATTACCCCCACCACAACCGGATCGCCATTTAATACAACATCATCTCAAACGACACCATCTGGACAAACCACTCCATCTAGACAAACCACTCCATCAGGTCAAACTACTCCATCTGGACAAACCACTCCATCTGGACAAAGTACTCCATCTGGACAAACCACTCCTTCTGGACAAACTACTCCATCTGGGCAAACTACTCCATCTGGACAAACCACTCCATCTGGTCAAACCACTCCATCTGGACAAACTACTCCATCTCGACATACCACTCCATCTCGACAAACCACTCCATCTGGACAAACCACTCCTTCTGGACAAACCACTCCTTCCGGACAAACTACTCCATCTGGACAAACCACTCCTTCTGGACAAACTACTCCATCTGGACAAACCACTCCATCAGGTCAAACGACACCATCTGGACAAACCACTCCATCTGGACAAACCACTCCTTCTGGACAAACCACTCCATCAGGTCAAACTACTCCATCTGGACAAACCACTCCATCTGGTCAAACCACTCCATCTGGACAAACTACTCCATCTAAACAAACCACTCCTTCTGGACAAACTACTCCATCAGGACAAACTACTCCATCAGGACAAACCACTCCTTCCGGACAAACTACTCCATCTGGACAAACCACTCCTTCTGGACAAACTACTCCATCTGGACAAACTACTCCTTCTGGACAAACCACTCCATCTCGACAAACTACTACTTGTCCGCCAGGTTTTATTATAGTCCCATAATCAAATGATACAAACTTTATTTTAATTTTCTAGCTATAAATCCTTGTGATTTAGTTACAAAAGACGGAAATTATAGTCTAAGTGATTTAATAAATTGCACCTCGCTATCTTGCAAGTAATAATATTCCATTTCAAATATATACTTAATATATCATATAGTGCCGAGATATACTTGGAACGAAAGGATAATAAAATTATATATCCTATCTTTGAAAATGATATTTTCGGACAATTTGTTCCCACGGATGACGAAGAGAAAGATTTCTATTTAACATTTTCAATATTGTATTATCTTAAAATAAAATTTGATATTAGCTTCCAAGCAGAAAGCAATGTAAATTTAATTTCTTGCGTTCCATAAAATTCTTTCAATTTCTAGGTTATACTTGTAACAAAAGATTTTACAGATTATAGTAAAAAAGCATATTGTTCCTTAGTTATTGAAAAAGTAATATATTCAAAATGTTTCTTTCCCCAGGATGTTGAAGATATTGTAAATTGAATTTTTAAGACAAAAATTTACTGTATATTTTAGAAAACTATTACACAATTGATTACATCAATCAAAATTGAGATGAAAGATGGGAAATTAAAGACTATCGATAATAGCTTTATTATCCGTGCCAATAAAGATATATTCGATATTAAAGGAGATCATCATGTTTTAGACATTATTATAAAGGATTGTGGAAGTAATTTTTAGTTTATAATTAAGGTAAACTAATATATAATATATTTTTAAAATAACAGACATCACTAGTTCCTCATCAAGTATTTCATAATAATATTTATTTTATATTAATTTATTTATTTCATAAATTAGTTGCTAAAATAATATTTTAAAGTATTAAAACTTTATAATAAAATTTGATACGAAATTAAAATATTTTTATACAATAAAATTGTCAACTAAATATTATATTGTGAAAATAAGTTAAATAAATCAAAAGGCTAATTTACCTTATTTAATTTTGCAATTTTTTATTTCCATCTATATAACCGTGCAAAATGCCGTTTCGTCTAAAAGTGCCAAAAGATCAAATAAATTGCAAATGATAGGAAATTAGAAATAATTTTTAAATTTACCGATGATGCTTATTGATATGACTGAAAAGATATATCTATTTATATATAATTAAATCTAAATTTATATTTGAATTATTTCCTTTTATAAGTAATTACCCCCACCACAACCGGATCGCCATTTAATACAACATCATCTCAAACGACACCATCTGGACAAACCACTCCATCTAGACAAACCACTCCATCAGGTCAAACTACTCCATCTGGACAAACCACTCCATCTGGTCAAACCACTCCATCTGGACAAACCACTCCTTCTGGACAAACTACTCCATCTGGGCAAACTACTCCATCAGGTCAAACGACACCATCTGGTCAAACCACTCCATCTGGACAAACTACTCCATCTGGACAAACCACTCCATCTGGACAAACTACTCCATCTGGACAAACTACTCCATCTGTACAAACCACTCCATCTGGTCAAACTACTCCTTCTGGACAAACTACTCCATCTCGACATACCACTCCATCTAGAGAAACCACTCCATCTCGACATACCACTCCATCTCGACATACCACTCCATCTCGACATACCACTCCATCTCGACATACCACTCCATCTCGACAAACCACTCCATCTGGACAAACCACTCCTTCTGGACAAACTACTCCATCAGGACAAACCACTCCTTCCGGACAAACTACTCCTGGACAAACCACTCCTTCTGGACAAACCACTCCTTCTGGACAAACCACTCCTTCTGGACAAACCACTCCTTCTGGACGAACCACTCCATCTGGACAAACTACTCCATTCTGGACGAACCACTCCTTCTGGACAAACTACTCCATCAGGACAAACTACTCCTTCTGGAAAAACCACTCCATCAGGTCAAACTACTCCATCTGGACAAACCACTCCATCTGGACAAACTACTCCATCTAAACAAACCACTCCTTCCGGACAAACTACTCCATCAGGACAAACCACTCCTTCCGGACAAACTACTCCATCTGTACAAACCACTCCTTCTGGACAAACCACTCCTTCTGGACAAACCACTCCTTCTGGACGAACCACTCCTTCTGGACAAACTACTCCATCTGGACAAACTACTCCATCAGGTCAAACTACTCCTTCTGGACAAACCACTCCTTCTGGACAAACCACTCCATCTGGACAAACTACTCCATCTGGACAAACTACTCCATCTGTACAAACCACTCCATCTGGTCAAACTACTCCTTCTGGACAAACTACTCCATCTCGACATACCACTCCATCTAGAGAAACCACTCCATCTCGACATACCACTCCATCTCGACATACCACTCCATCTCGACATACCACCCCATCTCGACATACCACTCCATCTCGACATACCACTCCATCTCGACATACCACTCCATCTCGACATACCACTCCATCTCGACATACCACTCCATCTCGACAAACCACTCCATCTGGACAAACCACTCCTTCTGGACAAACTACTCCATCTGGACAAACTACTCCTTCTGGACAAACTACTCCATCAGGTCAAACTACTCCTTCTGGACAAACTACTCCTTCTGGACAAACTACTCCTTCTGGACAAACTACTCCTTCTGGAAAAACTACTCCTTCCGGACAAACTACTCCTTCCGGACAAACCACTCCTTCTGGACAAACCACTCCTTCTGCACAAACCACTCCTTCTGGACAAACCACTCCTTCTGGACAAACCACTCCTTCTGGACAAACCACTCCTTCTGGACGAACCACTCCTTCTGAACAAACTACTCCTTCCGGACAAACTACTCCTTCCGGACAAACTACTCCATCTGGACAAACCACTCCTTCTGGACAAACCACTCCTTCTGGACAAACTACTCCTTCTGGACAAACCACTCCATCTCGACAAACTACTACTTGTCCGCCAGGTTTTATTATAGTCCCATAATCAAATGATACAAACTTTATTTTAATTTTCTAGCTATAAATCCTTGTGATTTAGTTACAAAAGACGGAAATTATAGTCTAAGTGATTTAATAAATTGCACCTCGCTATCTTGCAAGTAATAATATTCCATTTAAAATATATACTTAATATATTATATAGTGCTGAGATATACTTGGAACGAAAGGATAATAAAATTATATATCCTATCTTTGAAAATGATATTTTCGGACAATTTGTTCCCACGGATGACGAAGAGAAAGAAATCTTTCGAATATTGTCAATATTATATTATCTTAAATTAAAGTTTGATATTAGCTTTAAAGCAGAGAGCAATGTAATCATATTCGATTCAATTTTTAAATTTTACATAACATATATAGGTTGTACTTGAAACAAAAGATTTTACTGAATATAATGAAATCGCATTTTGTACAATAGTTATTGAAAAATTTATAAGTCCTATATGCATATATGCTAAATATGTTAAAGATATTGTAAATTAAATGTTTATGACAAATATTTACTGTATATTTTAGAAAACTATTACGCAATTGATTACATCAATCCAAATTGAGAAGAAAGATGGGAAATTAAAGACTATCGATAATAGCTTTATTATCCGTGCCAATAAAGATATATTCGATATTAAAGGAGATCATCATGTTTTAGACATTATTATAAAGGATTGTGGAAGTAATTTTTAGTTTATAATTAAGGTAAACTAATATATAATATATTTTTAAAATAACAGACATCACTAGTTCCTCATCAAGTATTTCATAATAATATTTATTTTATATTAATTTATTTATTTCATAAATTAGTTGCTAAAATAATATTTTAAAGTATTAAAACTTTATAATAAAATTTGATACGAAATTAAAATATTTTTATACAATAAAATTGTCAACTAAATATTATATTGTGAAAATAAGTTAAATAAATCAAAAGGCTAATTTACCTTATTTAATTTTGAAATTTTTTATTTCCATCTATATATCCGTGTTAATTTTTAAATTTACCTATGATGCTTATTGATATGACTGAAAAGATATATCTATTTATATATAATTAAATCTAAATTTATATTTGAATTATTTCCTTTTATAAGTAATTACCCCCACCACAACCGGATCGCCATTTAATACAACATCATCTCAAACGACACCATCTGGACAAACCACTCCATCTAGACAAACCACTCCATCAGGTCAAACTACTCCATCTGGACAAACCACTCCATCTGGTCAAACCACTCCATCTGGACAAACTACTCCATCTGGACAAACAACTCCTTCTGGACAAACTACTCCATCTGGGCAAACTACTCCATCAGGTCAAACGACACCATCTGGTCAAACCACTCCATCTGGACAAACTACTCCATCTAAACAAACCACTCCTTCCGGACAAACTACTCCATCTGGACAAACCACTCCTTCTGGACAAACTACTCCATCTGGACAAACCACTCCATCAGGTCAAACGACACCATCTGGACAAACCACTCCATCTGGACAAACCACTCCATCAGGTCAAACTACTCCATCTGGACAAACCACTCCATCTGGTCAAACCACTCCATCTGGTCAAACCACTCCATCTAAACAAACTACTCCATCTAAACAAACCACTCCTTCTGGACAAACTACTCCATCAGGACAAACTACTCCATCTGGACAAACCACTCCTTCTGGACAAACCACTCCTTCTGGACAAACCACTCCTTCTGGACAAACCACTCCTTCTGGACGAACCACTCCATCTGGACAAACTACTCCATCTGGACAAACTACTCCTTCTGGACAAACTACTCCTTCTGGACGAACCACTCCTTCTGGACAAACTACTCCATCAGGACAAACTACTCCTTCTGGAAAAACCACTCCATCAGGTCAAACTACTCCATCTGGACAAACCACTCCATCTGGACAAACTACTCCATCTAAACAAACCACTCCTTCCGGACAAACTACTCCATCAGGACAAACCACTCCTTCCGGACAAACTACTCCATCTGTACAAACCACTCCTTCTGGACAAACCACTCCTTCTGGACAAACCACTCCTTCTGGACGAACCACTCCTTCTGGACAAACTACTCCATCAGGTCAAACTACTCCTTCTGGACAAACCACTCCTTCTGGACAAACCACTCCATCTGGACAAACTACTCCATCTGGACAAACTACTCCATCTGTACAAACCACTCCATCTGGTCAAACTACTCCTTCTAGACAAACTACTCCATCTCGACATACCACTCCATCTAGAGAAACCACTCCATCTCGACATACCACTCCATCTCGACATACCACTCCATCTCGACATACCACCCCATCTCGACATACCACTCCATCTCGACATACCACTCCATCTCGACATACCACTCCATCTCGACATACCACTCCATCTCGACAAACCACTCCATCTGGACAAACCACTCCTTCTGGACAAACCACTCCTTCTGGACAAACCACTCCTTCTGGACAAACTACTCCATCTGGACAAACTACTCCTTCTGGACAAACTACTCCATCAGGTCAAACTACTCCTTCTGGACAAACTACTCCATCTGGACAAACTACTCCTTCTGGACAAACTACTCCATCTGGACAAACTACTCCATCTGGACAAACTACTCCTTCTGGACAAACTACTCCATCAGGTCAAACTACTCCTTCTGGACAAACTACTCCATCTG